GGGGAGTATCTAGAAGACCCTTCATGTTTTAGGAGATGAAACTTCATTTATGTCGCTGACAGTGCCATAACTTTCTCCCCCGAGATTCTGAGCTTTGAAGCATTTTAGGGGACGTTGGTTTCCATCCTAAATATCCGCCCAAGAGTGTACGTCTCTGAGGTGGGGGCCAACACAGAAAGGTCCTCTCGGGGCCCCCGATGTCTGGTCCTAACCGGAGCCCAGGGTCGGGTCAGCACCTGGGGGACAGGTGTCAGTAGGAGCAGGCTGCTCATGGAGTTTAGACGATGAGAGTTCAGATCTATTTAATTTTCAAAAAATCTATTTTTATTGATGTCAGAGAGAAAGGGAGAAGGAGAGAGAGATAGAAATGTCAGTGATGAGAGAGGATCGTGGATCAGCTGCCTCCTGCACGCCCCCCACTGAGGGTCCAGCCCACAACCCCGGGCCTGTGCCCTTGACCTGGAATTGAACCTGAGACCCTTCAGTCCTCAGGCCAACGCTCTATCCACTGAGCCAAACCGGGTAGGGCGATAGATTAATTTTAAAAGGCATTTGTCATTCACGGAGTATTCTCGAAGGATAATGTCGGGTGAGGAATGAGGGATCTGGGTATCAAAGTGCCTTGGGAAGTAACCTATTCCACCAAGTATCTATTCCTTTTTTAAAAAATCTTATTTGTGACCAAACTATCTAGCCGTGATCCAGATGCCCCTAGTATAGCCCCCATCTGTCATAATGATGTGAGCCATCAGAATGGTTCCTGCTTTGCAAGCTGGCCGCCACACCTGTTCCGCGAGCAGACGGACCAGGGTGGCTGTGGGCGTCTGGTTCAGACGTTTAAGTTCTGCTGCCTAACACCTGGGGGAGACACCCTCCCCTGAGCCTCTGTTTCCTCATCTGTGAAATGGGGATGAGGCCTCCTCTTAGGTGATGGAGGAAGAGGAAGCTGAGCTGTCACTCAGACCCCGCAGTGGGCTCTGTCCACGGTGCTGAAGGGTTCGCCCTGGAGGCGTGGTGAATGTATGTAGAGTGTTTATCCCAGAGGCCACCCCCCTTGGCCCCCGGAACCAACTCTACCAATTGGAAGAGACTCACAAAGTGGGTTGGGCCTGCAGGTTGCAAAGACCCCTGTCCCAGGGTCCTGGTACCAAGAACCATCGGCACCTCTGCCTCTGGGCTGGCGGGTGTCTGAGGCTGAAGGACACACACACCACACACACCTCCAGCCAAGTGTCTCGTTCAGTATGAATCCCTAGTGTCGCCAGATTAACTGTCCCAAGAGAAGCCAGAAGCCAGGTGGTTGTTAGTCCTCACCGGACGATATTTTTTCATTGATTTTTAGAAAGAGGAAGAGTGGGGGGCGGGGGGGACACATAGATTGGTTGCCTCCGGGACAGTCTCCAACTCCCAATACGTGCAATCAAGGTAAGTGCCTTGACCAGGAATCGAACCTGCGACCCTGCGACCCTTGGATGGATGGGCCAACGCTCTAACCACTGAGCTACCGGCCAGGGCCCACCCCTCCCCCCTTTAAAGTGACCCGAGTTTTCAAAATAAACCCATTCCAAGCAGGTGACGGCCCTCGAAAACGTGACTTTCTGACCCAAAATCACGCACAGGACGGCCTCATGCGTCCGGGAGAGCCACACCCCTCCGCCAGGTGGGCGGCTGCACGTGGTTTTGAGCCTCTGGGTCTCCACACCTGAAGTGGGGGGGTGGGGGCGGGGAGGGGACGGTATGATTTGCTCCAGGGAAGCAGGGCCCCGGCTGGCAGATTAGGACTCAACCCGGAAAATTCGCTTCCTCCTCCAGCCCCTCCTCTGCCGCC